TAATTCTGGTGTAAGTGGAGATAATTTTTTGAAAGAGCTGTCAGAAAGAAATGGATACAAACCAAACTACAATATCATTGTCAGGTCTCAAAAGCAACATCTTCTGTAACTGAGTGCCCCTGATTTTTGTTGCTGGTGACTGAGAATGAACGAGCAATTGAGAAGTTGCTGCTCGTTTAATTTGCAGATTTGGCACAAGGTCCCATACAGGTGTTCTGCTTGCATGCTGTTCTGTGCAAACTGTGAGCTACCAGGAAGAGAGCAGGCCTAGGGTTTTAGTTTCGGTTTTAGGGGTTTTTTTTTGTTTTGTTTTTTTTTTTTTTTTTTTTTTTTTTTTTTTTTTTTTTTTTTTTGTGGTTTTGTTTGTTTGTTTGTTTGTTTGTTTTTGGGTTTTGTTTGTTTTTTGTTTTTGTTTTGTTTTTTTTGGGGGGGGTTGGTTTGGTTTTTTTTTTCTCTGTGAAATAACTTACAAAAGTAAGTTTTTAGTCAGATAACTCTCCTAAACTTAAAGCAAACCCCATTGCAGTGCTATCTTGTGAAGTGGCAGTGTATTTTGATTTTTTTAGAAGTCTTTTATGTTTCCTTGTCACCTTGTCACAGCCTTCTTCCTGCTTCTCGGAGCATATTTTTATTCTGACTCGGCCTCAGCAGACTTAAAGCTGTGTTGGTGTGGAGAGCTGTGCTCAGGCCTCTGGTGGCAGGAAGCCTTTAGCTCAAATTCCATTCCCTGCAGCCCTAGCAAAAACCAATTTCCTCAGGGTGTGGAGCAGCAAAAAATAATCCATTACAACTTATTGCAAAATAAAACCAACCTTTAAATGATTGTAAAACTTTTTTTTTAAGAAGTGTAGTTAGTGTACAAATTGTGAAGCATGTCAAATCCTCACAATGTTCACATGATATTCATTTCGATGGTTTGGTTAGAAACACTGGACCTATCAAACATGTGAGTACTTACATCTGTCCCAAATTCCATGTATAAAAATGAGTTTAATATTAAAGTTTTAAGTAAGTTCGTTATCTGCAATAAGATCCCAACCCAAATAAATTTTTTATATAATTTTTCAGATTTAATGATGAGGTTATGATGTACCTTTAACTTATTGTAGATTCTTATTCAGTCTTAGCTGTGTAAATGTATTTGACTATACGTGCATCATCTGAGTACTGAGGAATGCAAGTTGCTTAAAATGTTAAGATTTATCTTCCTTGTGAATGCTAATGTGAAAAAATTTATAGTCTTTCTGTTCTAAAACTTTATTCTTTTGTTAACTAAATTCTGTAGCATAACCCTGTAACATTTTTCTTAGGTGAATCCTTGAATGAAACTGTTGGGTTAGAAAAGAATGGGGAGGAGGAGGATTTTGAATAATAAAAGTAACCTGAAATACTAATACCAGTTTCAGAACGTTTTTTGTAAACGGTGCTCAGTACCTGTAAATGAGCTATAAATTTTATAAACCTGGTTTCCTAAAAGGAATTCAAAACACCCCTGTTGGCAGCAGTTGCTTACACACCCTCCCTGTGATGAATACGTTGTGCTGCGAGTCGGCTGCTGGCTCCTGCTTGATGTGCTGCTCCATTGACCACCACAGCGTTTGTGTGTGCATAGGCACTAAAAGAGTGGATGTAAATGTTTGTTACTAGAAGGTGCTGTTTGGATTTTATCACAGCTGTTTGTTTAACTTTGCTTCCCATAGTAATAGATGCTGTTCCCTGTGTCTGTCTGTATTTGACAATAACTGCTTCTGGCAGAAGGTTTTCTCTGCACTTGCGTTTTCCAACCATGGCTTTTTCAGTTAAGGGTGTGGCTTTTTCTGACACAGTTGTGTTAGAACAGGCTCTTGCATAGGAACACTTATCATGGCAGAAAGTCCTCTGGCATCGCAGCTTATCTTACTGGGGGGCTGTAGTGGACTACATCAGAAAGAAACTGTCTGTACTGAAATGTTGTGGGTGTGGAGACAGTCTTAATTATTTTTTCTAATGTGTTTTACTGGGTAAACTGTTGTGATTTTCAGTGTGACCTTGCAGTTTATAGAATCACTGGCCATTCCCTATGGTGTGTTCAGATTCCTTTTATTTATTTATTGGTATTCAAATTACGGAAGCTCTTACTGGGGTGTTCATCATGCCTTACTCCCAAAGGTTTTTCAAGGAAACTCACAAATTTCAGTGGCTTTGCAAAGTGCTGTCAAGTATGTCTGCTTCTAGTTTGAAAGTTGATCCCTGTAACATCAGTAGCTGACAGCCATTAAAACAATTACTATTACAATTATGTTAAAACAATTAATTATTAGACCTTGCAGGAACGATGCCATTAATTTTGGGTGTCTGCAAAACTGAGCTATGAAATAGATACTTAACCTTAGATCTAAAATCATCACTGAATGTTAATCATTGATTTTCATGGGAAATTATTGCCATTACATTGTGATGAAGTCATAGCTTCCCAAGACCTTCTTCAATCCCATCGTGTACTTGGATGGAGGAGTAATGCAACTTTGGCAAGACACTGTGATCCCATTTTAATGTTGCTATTGCAGGCTGTTAGGGACAGCCTGCAATGTGAGTAGGAAACAGTGAAGTTATTCTGTGTGTCATTCATTCAGAAATTGGTTTTGGTAAGTAAGTCTGAAAGTAAGATGGAATTAGTGTAAATAATTAAATGCAAAATGACATTTGCAGATGTGTATTCAGTTTAATTTAAATTAGATTGTGCATGCACAAACAACCTGACACTTAAACATAGCCTGAACATCAAATGCCTCAGCAGGCAGGAGGAGGCTGTTCTCCGCTGGTGGTAAGCACACACTTCCTTGTTTTCCTATGCTTTGCTTTTCAGTAAAGACACATTTGTGGCTGTGCTCAGCAGAATGCTCGATGAAGTGAACTGCTTGGGTGGTTCTGGTTGCCTTCACTTGCCATTGTGCTGTTTCTAAACTCCCTGATTTTTTTTGATAAGCAGAGGCCAGTGAAGTTCAGACTTCGATTGGGCCAACTGAGCTGTTACTGTAAGAGAGTAAGGCATGTTTGGGTCTGCAAATCGTTGCTTTTCAACACAGCCCTGATGCAGAAGCAGTCGTATGGCTGATAGAGCTCAGGAGGTTGGAAAAAGTGTTAGTAGGCCTTCAAAAGCATTTTCAAGGGAGGAAGTGGCAGATGGTGCAGGCTGGAGGTTGTGAGGAGGAAAAGAACTTATAAGGAGTGTATGAGGCATCTGAAGCTGCCAAAGCAGAGGTGTCTACTTTGCTCTAACTTCACTTGCTTAAAATTTCCGAGGTCTAATACCTTAAAAGCTTTTCCCTGTGGATAAAAACATTATTTCTCCTTGCTGTATCCTGTATTTCTCTGTGGGTGAAGTGAGCAATTGAAATAATAAAGATGTACATATGAGCTTTAGAGAAGAAAACAATCAACCGTGATGTTTAAAGTTTAAACTTTAAAATGAGATTTTTAACAGTGCAGAGGTGTCTTTGTGTGTTTATTTAGTAACTCAGTGGGTGGAAATCATTGAGTGTTAACATAGATTTTCATAGTAATATCCTGTTCTGCAGAGTCAAGGAAAATACCTTATTTTGCTCATTGTCTTCAGCTGTCTCAGTTCAGTGGTTTTTTCATTCTGATATAAGAAAGTAATTGAATTTTCAAATTTCTTTCCTAATGTAAGAATTAAAGAGAATGAAATCTGCTAATTCTGGCTTCCTGAAGTAGATAATTTTCTTCATTGCAATTATTTTGTTTAACATAGTCTGCATTTCAAAATTTATGTAAACTTGCCTTTGCTGTGTGCATCCACATCTGAAGTGGTTTTAGCTAATAAGCATGCAAATAAATTACTAAGCAAATTAGAAACAGTTTAAGTCCCTAACAAAAATCTAAAAATGGCAAAAGAATAGAGACATATGTAAAACCTTGCTAATTTTAGATGTAGATGATGAATGATTACTTACATGAAGATATATACAGTCTTTTCTACTTAGTTGTAATTTGATAGATCAGATGACCAGGAATTGGAAGCTTGAATCTCCAAGTGTTGCGAGGGTGGCTTTATTGAACTGCCTTTTTGTCAGTGGAAGGCTTCAAAATTCTTCTGAGAAGGATTTTGGAATGAGGGTTGTAATACTGTGCCCAGAAAACTGGGATAATGTTACACAAAGGAATGGATGTGAGTGGAAGGAGGAGGTGTGTATGAGCAACACTGGCTGAGCTTTCAGCCTTTCTGGTACATACGGCAGTTGCTGACTAGGACATGTAAAACTGAAAGGAACCCTGGCCAGGGAGTGGGGGCTGTGTGTGTGTCTGTGCTTTCCAGATTCCAAAAACCACATGCTAATGTAGTGATCAGCATGTTATTGAATGGACCTAAAATAAATGTGAAAAGAACACTTTGGGTTGCAAAGTCAAGATTTCTGAGTTTGTATCCAGAAATGTGTTGGCAGTCCGAGCATGTTTTGGTGGCGTTGATTCTTCATATTAATGAACATGTGTAATATACTAATTGCAGTGATGATTTAATTTCTGATTTATGCAATATTCTTTTTATTGTGTCTGCTTTAACTTTTTAAGAGAAAACTAAAAGGCAAAAGCCCCAAACCAGTGAGTTTAGGCCTCGTGTCTGGAACTTCTGTCATTATCTCTGAGAAGGTTTGAAGGACTTGCATGCTTCCAAAAGCCAATCTGGCCAGACAGCTTAAGGAATTTCTTTTTTTCCCCCAGTTTAAATGGGAGCTCTCGTATTAGTTTTGTACTGCATGAATTTATATAGCATATTGGACTTTTCATATATGTTAGCCTACTTTTCTGATCTTGTGTATTAAAATCCTTTTTCCTACTCTAGAATATTGCTATCCAGTTGCACAAACATGGTTTCTCATTTGGGAAGACATGCTAATTTTAGATGGATTTGAACTATTACTTTGAACGTAGAAGCACATACGAATTTCATAATTATTTCCTTGCTTGATTTATTTATTATTCTTCTCTGTCCTTCTTCATAGATTCCTTAAAACTGTGCTATGAATGGTGATTCCGGTGTGGGGGTGGTGACTTCACCACCTCCAACAACAGCACCTCATAAAGAGAGGTATTTTGATCGAGTTGATGAAAATAATCCGGAATATTTGAGAGAGAGAAATATGGCACCTGACCTTCGCCAGGATTTTAACATGATGGAACAGAAGAAGAGAGTCTCCATGATTCTTCAAAGCCCAGTAAGAAAATAAATGCTTCATCTTTAAAGTGACAAATGTCATATCTTTATTTAAACTATCAGGATGGAATTGGAGAATTTTCTGCTATCTTAGATCCATCCTGATTTTTTCCTCATTCTGTCTGTTTGAATTTTTATGGTCTACTCACAAAACAGCTCTTCAGTCTGGCTTTCAGAATCCTCTCTATAATCATCAACATTTTTTTTAATATTTTCCATCTAGTCCTTGTAAAACATTTTTTCACTGGTTTCATGTATTTGTTTAAATGTAACTCTCTTAAAGAGTAGCTTATACAAGGCAGGTCTGTCCTGTACTCAGTTTTTCTTTTGAGATTTGGACATAGGAAATATTTTTATGATCTCTTTCTGAAAAGGTGCACAGTAATGAAGTATGAATGATTGACATTTAATATAGAAGATGTTCCCTTGGGGAGATAGTGTGCAAACAAACCTTCCCTCATGACATTTGTTCCTTTTGTAATAACTAGTGGGTGACTTTAGATACAAAACATTTCGTGACATAACTTCATTTGGAATACAGATGTGGTGGTACATTCACAATTTTTTTATTAAGTCAACCTATTTGATTTCTGAAAATATTAATAAATTGCTTAATAAAAAAGTAATTACTTAATGACTGGGTATTTCTCTTTCAGTAGAAATTCCAGTGTTCTTCACAAAAGCAGGAGCCATCAGCAATAGTAAAAACTCTTGCTTTCTTCCTTCCAAGTTAAAATATATTAAACAAAAAAACCCTGGAAAAAATGTAAGCAACCCCTTGTCTAAACAGGTTTTAAAATTTTAATGTTTGTTGGTTTCTGTGTTCCTGGATGCCTTCTTGGTTCTCAGTTCCCTGTGAGCCACAGTGACAAATTTTCTTTTCTGGTTCTGCTACTTTTCCTTTCACATTTTGTGTTAAAGTCGATTGTACATTCTCCTCCTTCCAGAAATTCATACTAGCAAGACTCAAAGACTCTTGGTGTTACTGGAAAAGAGAATGCTGGAATTTCCATAAAAAGCCCCCAAGTGACTCAGATCATTGGCACTCCAGAGACCAATGTTTTGAAGTTACAGTATGCACCCAGTAGTTCTGCCTTGAGGTGTTTTTCAGAGGAGGTGTAGGATGGTTCCATCAAAGTGCTAAAAAGAAGCTGTGTCTGAAAGGCTGAAGTTCATTGAAACATGCATTACAACATGCAGTGTCTTGTTACAGGCCTTCTGTGAGGAATTGGAATCCATGATCCAAGAACAGTTTAAGAAGGGGAAGAACCCAACGGGTTTATTGGCTTTGCAGCAGATTGCGGATTTCATGACAACGCACGTACCAAATGTCTACCCTGCAGCACCTCAAGGTGGAATGGCGGCCTTAAACATGAGTGAGTGCACTTTCTGTGATCAGAGCTGGATTCCTTTCTTTCTTTTCTGGAAAGGCTTAAAATGAAGACAGTGTGAATGAAATAAAAGGAGTGTGAAGTTCAAATGCTATCTTGTTCTGCTCACACAAACACTGAACACATGAAATGAATTGGTTAGTTTCTAAATGCCACAATGATATGCAGTGTGATTCATGCATATAGTTTGCATCAAAAGCTTTTTCAAGGACGGGATCTAAATTGAAAAATAAGCCTGATAAGTCAGTGCTATTAAAATTTTTTGATTATTTAAATACTGCTAATTGCGACATGGTTTGTCTTCAGGAAAATCAAACACTCATTAGCAGTCTGCTAACAGTGGAGGTCCTTAGAAACTAAGTATTTTTGCTATTGAAATACTTTGCAGCTTTCTCCTGTGAAGTGAAGCTTTAAACAAGAAACATCAGCAAGCAAAACAAAGCAGGAAAAAAACCAGAATGTGCGAATACATGTACACACAGGTTTTGTGCTAAGATAAAATAAATCCTTGCCTGTGCTCCAAAATAAACCTTTAGTTCTTATTGTAGCATGGCCTGGTTCTGCTTTTTCACAGTTACTTTTAACCACATTTCTAACTGCACTATAACTAGAATTACAGTATTTGTATTATTTACCGTAATCTTCCTCTCTCTAGCTTGTACTTAATTTTTCTTAGCAAATGAACCTGTGTGCATCTTTTTGAGTATGTAATTCTCCTTGTCAGGAATACATGTGTCACAAAAAGTGGAATATTTGGGATTACATTTTTCTTTTAACAATGAAGATGGTTTTTACAAGCAATCATTAGTTTGAGAGAGGGAAAATTATTTTGGTAAGGAATGCACTGTCATGTTAGCACTAGCATGTTAATTTATAGTAGGGAAGGAAATGAATGCTGAGTCTACCAAAGCTGAATAATAACCTTGCTCAAGATTGTAATTATATTTGTGTAATAGAGATTATTTCATTATAGGAATGAAAATTTGCTGTTCATTTCTTAGGTTAGTGTGTTCATATAAACCAGTAAGAAAACTGATCTAACAGTGGTGCATGTTGCTAGGTTTGATTTGATATTGAACTTAACCCGCCTTGTGCTTTTTTTACATTATTTCTCCTCTTCAGGTCTTGGCATGGTAACACCAGTGAATGATCTGAGAGGGTCAGATTCCATTGCTTATGAGAAAGGGGAGAAGTTGTTACGATGCAAATTGGCAGCTTTCTACAGATTAGCAGATCTCTTTGGCTGGTCTCAGCTTATTTACAATCATATAACAGTGAGTATTGAATCAACAGATAACTGAACCAATTGTTTTAACATACAAGAGAATTGCTTCCCTCCCTTGTCATTTTCTCTTTGTGTGTGAGAAGAGCAAAGTGGTATTGAAAGCAATATAATAGTGAAGAGATTTGTCATTGCATTTCAGCTTGCATGTCAGCTACCAGAGTCTGAATGGAGTCTTGAAGAGTGTACATGAGAGTTCTTAGGATGAAATAAAGATTGCTGAAAGACTCAGTCTTTTAGTGTCTCAAATGCTTTGAATAATTGTATTTATTATTCTTCAAGGTAATTTCTTAGTTTTCTTGCTTTTTTTGCTGAGTACTAAAATATCTTCTTAGTCATTCAGTTGAATTTTATACTTCAGGTACCAGCCTTTCTGAAAAAGAAGCCATATTATTTCTGAACATGAGCGAGCTTCTCTGCTTAATGCAGTGTGCCAACAATTTTCCTTGTGACTGAGTGATCGCTGGCATCCATAAAAATAATGACAAGGAGGTCAAATCAAGGAGGTTTTATGTGCCAGAAGAATGATCAACATGAGTCTCATGAGTAGTCACAGCTGTGGTGTGCAGCCCTGTCAATTGTTGTCCTAACAGAGCTGAATTGTTTTTTATTCTACATAGTAGAGGTTGTTCTTTATGTATTTTCAGTTCTTCTAGTTGCAGTTAGAATGAAATATGGAAATATTATTTTTTCTGCTTTTTGAGAATTCAAGGCATATTATTTGTGAACAGATGAAGATGATAAATGATATGTGTAGGCATAGGATCAAGACAGTATTGGTGAGATCGTTTGGTTCCTTTTGTAAGGGAACATATCCAACATAATGGTTCTTGTAAACAGCTCTGTGCCACCCCCAGATTTTTCATACATGACAGGAAAATTGATTTTGTAAAAGGAACATTAATGCAATGAAAAGATTACTAGGCAAGGAGGTTTGGAGATGGCTTTCTAGTGTGAAGTTCAACCCTGGGAATGTTTATATGTTTAGATAAAATGTAAATGTAATGAAGAGCGGCATGTCAAGGGAAGGGGTTGTGATTGGGGTAGAATGCCTCAAGTTTACTTTCTTTGGGGAGGAGTACAAGGAAGATACCAGTAGAGGAGGTACCCCTTGAGGTGCAAGGCAATCAAACCACTTGGAAAATGAGATTCTCAAAGTGTTTTAGTCACTTCTGAATGGCACAGGTACTGAAAAGCTCTTGGTTTGTCAGGAGCTGTCCCAAGTCATTGTTCTCCTGTCTTTTACAAGCTCCTCCAGTGAGCAGCATTCTGAAAGATAACTGAAAGATATAATTTATCTTCAGAAGCTGATATAGAGCAAGATTGTTATGTTTATTAAGTAGTACTAAGACACCCCTTTGGAATGTGGTGAATGCTACCACTTCATGCAGTGCTGGTGTTTGACTCCAGGTTTTCACTTCTTTTGTCAGTGGATGCTGTACTTCTGAAGCAAGAGGAAAGGTAAAACAGCCTTCTGTGAGGGTCATAAGCCTCTGTGTTAGAGGAGAATGCCACATACTCTCGTACTCTGACAATTTCCATCTGGGCATATCAGGGACCTGGGTGGAGTATCGTTGCTTTTTTTGGATCCTTGTCAATCACTAACAGTTACTGTATGTGGAATTGCTCAGACTGGTGCAGTCCTGATGCAGAAGCAGAATTACAGAGCATCAAGAGCTTTCATGCCAAGTGTAATAATGTTGAGTACACTTGGGTACCTCCAGGGTTTTCACGTCAAGTACAATAATGTAGAATAAACTTGGGTGCCTCCAGGGTCAGGCAGAATTTGAGATTACAGGTTTACAGAAGGTAGACATCATTCATCAGGTCTTGGTTTGCTTTGAGGGCATGAGCTGTTTATTGGATCTAATCCTAAAGCAAAGTGGTTTGTGAGTCTTGCTGCTTGTTTGTCTTCGATTTGAGCTTTCTTATTAGCTTTTGGGATATTTTAAATAATACTTGTTCTTTGTCTTGCATGAATAAGCAAGAGATTTTTCTTGATCATTTGCACTTCTGTAGTGGAGAACTACTTTGGTGATTCATAGAAGTACAGATTAACTTCAACTGACTGCTGCAGTTAAAGGCTCTTATGCTGTAGCATATTCCCAGCTGCTTGTAAAGGAAACTAGATCTGTGCTAGAAGCTTTTGCATGATTGCACTACTACTTATTAGAATTTTTTTTCCCTGCAGTAGAACTATAGCAATGTATGTGTGTATTTTGTCTTCTACTACCTGCAGCATTAGAGGCAGAAACTGTGTCAAGTAGCTGCATCTCAGGAAAATTCAGAACTCATAAATAACTTTGAATTTAAAAAACCCAAATAACAACAAAAAGCCCAAACCCACAACACAAACTACCCAAATGCTGGGTAGACTCATAGCAAAGTAGGGTGTTGTTTCATGTGTCCAGTAAAACTTAGGAAGCCTATTAATTCACCATCAAAAGGCACCTTAATTACCTAGATGTCTTGTACTCTTCGTTGTACAGAATTTCAAAAGATGCATCCCAAGATGTGAATGCTTTGAAGCCAAAATTATTTTGTATTATAAACACCTGAGATGAGAGAGAAAAAACATAAGTGAAGGTCAGGATACTTGGTAGAAAATTTGCAAGTGTGCTGTACTGCTCACAGATGTCTCACAGGAACCAGCATCAGTGATGAAACTCTTCTCAGCATCAAGATGTTTTAGATCTGTGGGCCAATTCTTGTGTTTTCTCACAGCCTTTTATTTTATACCTTATGTTTTACTCGGGTGGAAATACAGTTGGAGTGTGAACTCATTCAACTGAAAGAATTAACTTTTTTTCCTCATGTCTCTCAATATTACTCATTTTATCCATAGTGGGTGAGTTGTCATTATAACAGAATATAAGGGTTTAGTAAATTCCAGCAATCTGAAGGACTCTTTACTGCCATCTCTTTCTGTTCAACATGAGTTAATTAGCAGTGCTGTGCATTGATTATCTGTTGTAGCATACATGAAAGTCATAGTATGTGTTATAGACATACCTTGCCATTCCATAATCAGGTTTGGGGGCTTCTTGTATGCTCTAATAAAATCTTCTTGGTAACTCTTACTCTTGTTTTATCCTTAGGCCAGAGTAAATTCTGAGCAAGAGCACTTCCTTATTGTACCTTTTGGACTCCTCTATAGTGAAGTCACTGCATCTAGTCTGGTAAGCAATTGTTAATTTTCACATCTGTAAAATATTCATATATGTGTGTATATATATGTATGACTATATATGTCACTTTAAATTTTATCCTAAGGAATATTTTACTCTTGTCTAATATGTTTAGAATAGTGTTATTGAACATGGCTGGTTTTGGTACTGAGCGATTTCTTTGCCCATGTTCACCACCAGGTGTCCTCCAGTTGATCTGCCTGTAAGGAGGTGTCAGGTCATTTGTACAGTGAATCACCTCGTGCCCTTGAAAGATGCTGGCTGTTGAGTCCAGCTTGTTGAAGGAAACTTTAGGCATTTCAGATATAAATGATGACAACTGGTTTTAGAGTCTCGGTGGTAGATGCTGCATTAAATCAAATTTTTTTGAGTCTTGATTATGAAAATAATTCTTTTCATTTGCAGGTTAAAATCAATATTCAGGGAGATGTGGTTGATCGTGGAAGCACTAACTTGGGAGTCAACCAAGCTGGTTTTACATTGCACTCAGCAATTTATGCAGCTCGACCCGATGTCAAATGCATTGTCCATATCCACACACCAGCAGGAGCAGCGGTAAGCTTGCTTCCAGCTTTGTCCTGTCTCCTGTTCCCTCACCTGTCCCAAAGGGAAAACAGGTGGGCCCCTTAATCGTGGATTTACTTCCTATTAGGAGGGCAGGGAGCCTTTTAGTCTGTCTTCAAGCATGGTTCTGTTTGAATCAGAGCCCATCCTTACTGGGTAGTTACCTGAATGGTCAGACAGTAAATTGAGTTCTGTCATTGGAAAATACGTATGTCATATATGTGTGTCCTTCACCACAAAAGACCAGATCTTTTGACAGTGAGTCATAAAAGCTTTGGTATACTTTGTTGTTTTTGTAAAGCATGTTTTATCAATATTCTCTGAAATATTTGAAACTTTTCCAGTATTTCTCTTTGGAGAAACTGATTACAAGTCAATTCTGTCTCTTTGGAATGTTGCGAGAGAGTGACTTTCAGTGTTCACATTCTGATGATTTTTTTCTTAAATTAATTGATTAATCAAATTAATACAACCATTTCAAGGATAAATGATCAAATTCCTAAAATTGTGAATTACAAAGTAGCCTTTTAAAAACTATTCTTTAAGTTTACTTGCAGTGCTGCAGAATTATCTGTATCACCAAAGTTCTTCTTTTGGCATGAGGGCACAGGAGGGGGAAATAACTGAATGGAGTGGAAACAATGAAGGATACAGTTGTTTTTGGGGTTTGATGGTTTCTTGGGGTTTTCTTCCTGAGTCCTTTCCTATTGATATTGCTGTTGTGTAAAAACAGCCATATTGAGACAGACCCCAAATCAACCTGACTTTTGTATCCAGACCAAAAGTTATCAAAAATAGAGACTTTAAGGATGGAGTATAAGACCACTCTGTATGTACCTGTAGATAGATTCATTTAATACATAAAAATATATTCTTATTTTAATTCTCATCACTTTTTTTTTCACTTTTTCTGTTGCAAGACATTAAATCAGTTGTTTTAATATTTCTCAGGTTTCTGCAATGAAGTGTGGTCTCTTGCCAATTTCACCTGAAGCACTTTCTCTAGGGGAAGTAGCTTATCATGACTACCATGGCATTTTAGTGGATGATGAAGAAAAGGTGGTTATTCAGAAAAATTTGGGACCTAAAAGCAAGGTCAGTATTTGGAATTAAAGAAAAATTAAAGAAAAAAATTAAATTAAAGAAAACATCAGAATTAAAGAAAAAAGAAGGGGCAGTGTGTTTTTGTGACAGGTATGTTTTTTAATCAGTAGCAAAAATTCTTTAATCAAGAGCAAGAAAATACTTGACATACTGCTGTTAACTTTCTTTCAATGTTTCCCTAGGTCCTTATTCTCAGAAACCATGGCTTAGTGTCAGTTGGAGAGACTGTTGAGGAGGCTTTCTACTATATTCATAACCTAGTGCTTGCCTGTGAGATACAAGTAAGAGCTTTAATGTTATGTCATAATACAGTCTGCTGTATTAACCTCCAAACAAATTAATAATTGCAAATTTCACTGGTTCAGCTCTTGGCTCTGAACTAACACAACGATGTGGGATATCACTGTATTGTGGGAGGACATCCGAAACTTTGGTTTCACTGACAATATTTCAGTACTGTATTGAAACCATCAGTTTGCTGCCCATTAAAACAGATACTTTCAAAGACTTGAGACAACTTTTATACAAGGATAGTAATTTATTTAGTTTTAAATTGAAGTAGATTTCTTCTGGGTTTATGTCAAGTTTTTAGGGGTTTTTTTTGTTATTTTCACCCCATTCCCCACAAGAAACTTAAAGATAGCTCTATTATTTTTAAGGTACGTACCCTGGCCAGTGCAGGTGGACCTGACAACTTAGTGCTTCTTGATCCTGGGAAGTACAAAGCCAAGTCTCGTTCCCCTGAGTCTCCAGCAGGTGAGGGTACTGTATCCCATCCCAAATGGCAGATTGGCGAGCAGGAGTTCGAAGCTCTTATGCGAATGCTTGATAATCTGGTAAGGCAGGCCTTTTTGTCTATTTTTTTATATGATAATGTATAAAATGCATCTTTTTAAACTCCATGTGGTTGGGATAGTTTATACAGCTTGCAGCTTGTTCTTTCCCAAGGACTTGGAGACAACAGGAAAAGCATCAGGTGTCCTTTGTACAGATAGCAGATTTACTTCTTATTCATAATCTGATTGTTATTGGTGAGATCAGAGAACATCCTATGGGATTTGGCATTTCCAAATCAGAGTACTGTGGTGCTTGCACTCAATCTGTCTTTTTCCCTCTCTTCCCATCCCCTCCCAAAATGTGTAAAACTTTTGATGTCTTACCAGGTGCAGAATCCAGGATAATTTGACTTTGTTAGACTCTACTAGTACCTAGAAGAGCTCAAAAGACAGACTTCAAATAAATAAAAGCCTTCAGATAAAATGGTTTCAGTAAGATCCCATCTGTAATGAATGACCAGATACCAATATTTATTATCCAGCTTCAATGGGAAAGATATGGCTGGGGACAGCAGACTCTTTGTATCTGACTGGTACCTTTGGTAGATTCAGTTGGATTTCAGTTTCTTTAGGAAATACCAGTTTTATGTTTCTTACTGCACATAGAAAGCAGGATCATAAAAGAAATGGCATTGTACTCAGTAGGAATGTAGGAATAGAAAATAGCTTTCAGTCATACAATGCAGACCTTTACTATTATGATAAACCACATATTGTATTGGGCAGTTAATTATATTAGGTGGTGGATAATTAGTCAAGATGCATTTTGATCATTGAAAGTTGGAGTAGAACCCAAGTAAGGCCTCAGCAGTGCTTAATGCATGAAAACTCTACAGAAAGCTAAGTCTCCACGGGGGGGGGGGAGGCTGATGTTTCTTTACAGCTGTCTTGATAGAGAATTTAAATGCTTTGGGAACTAAGCCATTCACACTTTTTCTTTGTGCCATTTTGAAAATATTTTGCTAGTGGAAACTTCTTAAGGAAACTGTTAATGACCTTCTAGTATGTTAAAGCGTGGGCAGACATGACTTGTGTGAATCGGGAAGGTTAAAGGTGGAACAAAATACAGTTCAAAGGAAGTGGGAAAGTGAAAAAAAACATAAGATTAGGGAGAGGAGTGAATAAGGACATAAAAATAACACTTTTGAAGTCTTCCCTTGTATACCGTATCTACCCTCTCATAGGGGTGCTTCTTTATGTCCTTGATTTAGAATTGTGATGAGCAGTCGATACATTTGATTAGTTACAAAAAAGTGTAAATTAGTAGCTGGAATATAGTACAAAGGAAAGTAAGTATTCTGCATTTGGACTTAAATCCAACTCCAGAGACTTGAACAATTACTCAAAAGTTCTGTGAAAAACACCAGGAAGCACTAATATACTTTTTTCTCTTCCTAAAAAATCCTAGTCCAGTCAAAAGGATTTTTTAATGTGTTGAACACATTAGCATACATGTGGTAATTTTTTTGCTTGACTATGAGAAGAGGCAGACTCATATAGCACTGCTCTTGATGAACTTCTCAGTCACCTCAATGGCTTTTTGCAGGACTACTGTAAATTCTTCATAAAAGCTTAATATAATGTTTTTGATGTTTGATCTACCAAAAATGGTGACTCATTTAAATTAGTGGTTCAGAAGTTACTTAGATTGAAAAGGATGCTAATGTAGCCTCATTTCTGTGTGTAATCCCCTTTGACATGGCTGTGCCCACCATAACAGGTGAGCAGCCATGTAAAGGAGAGGTTGTGTTTTAGAATGGTTTTCAGACTTAAGGGTATCAATGAAATTTCAGTTGTTGAAAAACTTGGAGATATAGCAGACTAACTCTGGTGCTTTCCTTCTCCAGGGTTACAGAACTGGCTACCCATATCGATGCCCTGCTCTGAGAGAGAAATCTAAAAAGTACAGCGATGTTGAGATTCCAGCTAGTGTCACAGGTTACTCCTTTACTAGTGATGGCGAATCAGGCATTTCCTCCCCCCTCAGACACAGTTTTCAGAAACAGCAGCGAGAGAAGACAAGGTGGCTGAACTCTGGCCGAGGGGATGATGCTTCTGAAGAAGGGCAGAATGGCAGCAGTCCCAAGTCGAAGACTAAGGTGTGGACGAACATTACACACGATCACGTGAAACCCTTGCTGCAGTCTCTCTCGTCCGGTGTCTGCGTGCCAAGCTGTATTACCAACTGCTTGGTCTGTGCCTACCTTACTGTTCATAGTTAGATGATGTAGAGCAACTTGGGGTGGCTGGCACTTAGAGGCTTTGGGAAGAAAAAGATAACTCTCCTAATTATTTTCTTCTTTCTTATATTAAAAAAAATTAAATGTGCTTTACTAACCACTTAATTTGTATTTGATTAGATGTGACCTGTAAAAATGATCTTGCTTATTAATACTTAAAACTGCTTAAGACTTTGGAGCTTTTAGTTTTTTTTCTGTCTTTCCAAGCTAATGACCAAACAGGCTGACTTATAGTTTTGGCTAAATGGGTTCTGCATTTCAGTGGTTTTATTAAGGACATCTATATTTGGGAGCTACTAATTCTCTCTGCATGAAAACTTTTCAGTTCAAAATGAAACTAACAATTCAGTGTACTTTTGTACAAGTATATGAGAAAAAAATCAAATTTCTACCTTCTGTAACATATCCTAACTTCATCTGTAAGGTATTTGCAATCTTCTCTATGTATGAGAGGGTAGAATTGATTTCAAAGTATTCAAATATTTTTTTCTCTCCTTAAGCAGTTTTTTCTTGTCTAATTTCTCAGCTCCTTTTCCTGTCCTGTTTACTAAACTTTTGTCTACCCCAAAGCCTCTGAGTGTTCACAACCAGCTGCCTTCTGCATGTAGTGTTGCATGTAAGTAGATGGCCATAAATGGAAAGTCTTTCCTAAAGTATCAGCTGGGTGCGGCATGACTAAAGTGCAGCTCAGGCCATCAGCAGGCACTAATCGATAGATTCTGCAACTGGTGCTTTTCTTTTGTTTATCAATGCTGCTTACAGTTAAATTTTGCACTGAAAGATATGTTAATTGAAAAGCAAAAGTATCAACTGCTTTCAAATGGACATTAGCTGTTGGTGTGTAACTGTGGGTTTGATATTTTCTTGGGCATATACAGTGACTAAACTGAAGGCAGGGATTTGCACGGATACAACCTTTTGTAATGGTTGACCTCAAGCTCAGCTACAGGAGTTCAGTAGGACTTTGGTAGTGGTACTATGTATAGTAGTAGTATGCTTACAGGTGAGTCTTAAAAATATGAAACTAATACTCTTGAAAAAAACCCACGACATTATTTTTTCCAGAACACCTTAATTTTTATTTATCCCTACAAAACTCTGCTACACCTCTGAATACACTCAGGGTTCTCTATATTTTGAATACTTTTATGCAAAGATTCCTCGGGCAATGTGTATGCTAAAATACATAGTATTAACATGGAGAAAGTCCTGGAAAAACAGAGGTGCTCTCTCTGTGGTATTTTTGTGGTGTTCTTTTTGGTTTAAGAAATTAATAAATACATTTGTTGTTTGTACTAGCAACATGTCACTAAGCTAAATTATCGTTTAACCTTAATATAGATTTACCTTTATGAAACATAGTTTGTTAAATTGATCTATAGTGATGCAGATTTATCTTGATCAACTAGAGTTTTTACCATAGCTTAAAGCTATGTGTATGTTTGGACCAGTTTGTGCTTTTCAGCCTCAGCTCACAAAATAGGTAGTATTTTCATATTTGAAGTTAGCAGTGAAAGACTGAAGCGAAAAGCAAAATTCTTTGTCACAAATTAGTCTTGTTTAATGATATACTGAAGCAATAGATGATTTCATACAGTATAACAGGTTTGTGTATTTAAATTTTTTAATGCTTGCTATTAACCTAAAGAAAAAGTGGCTTGTTATATTGAGGTTGTTTTTATATATATATATGTTTTGACTAAAAACTATCTTTAATAAAAAGCTGGAGTAGTTTTTATCTGAGAAGATAATCATCAGTGAGTATTTCACAGCTCCATGTTCATTCCATTTTTTACTTTACAGTTGCAAAACATTTTAAAATTCTGTTGCTTTCTGAAGTCTGACAGTTCTGGCTATCTTGTTGTTTCTTGAAGTTACTCAGGAAAAAATGCATAGCATTTGCTCTATAAACAGGTTTGCTTTACTGTTCGGTGCATTTTCTATGTAATAGTGATTGGAAATTAGGACACTGTACAAAGTAAATATATCAAGATAATGAGTTAGTTGTGCATCAAATTAAACAGGACTCCATACTAAATGCACAGATCAAATAAAGCAACCTTCTATGAAGAACCCATGAAGCGCTTAAAGCTTGTGTTTGGGATATTTTTGTAACCTTCTGAGCTATGAGTTATAAAATATTTGACATCACCAAACTGTTCTTTTAGGTTGCTGTGCTGGTACAGCTCTTTGTTTGTGCAGAAACTAATTCTGGTAACATCATTTTGCTGAAGTAGCTTGTTTTAATGCAAAACTTTGGTGATGCCCACTCTTGCTTCACAATACAGAATCATTCACTAAACCTGGTTAGTGACATCACACTGCTTTTCATACTTCTGTCATCTTATGCTTTAAGTTTGCTTTGATGTTTGTTGGGTACCAGAGGATTGAATCAATGATCTCTGTCTCCCTTGTGCTATTTTATAAAAACACCCAGTGCAGAAAATGAAAATGGCAGTAAGAGGGTCTTAAAGCTCATGCCTTAGATCTTGCTCTACTTCTGTTTGGGTGAGGAATAGTGTCGTTTTTAAACAAGTATGAACTCATTGAGAAATTTGATTTAAAATGACCTTAAAAATAAGTAATTATATTGTCATTTTGCTACTCCTGTCTTGATATATTTATTCATAAAGTGAGAAGTCGGTGGTTTTCAGGAACACAAAACCCTCAAGCTGTCCGTGTGGTCAAGTGCACGCCCCTTAAAAACCCCTCAGTCTTCATAATCTCTGAACTGCACATAGGAATGGCATTGTTTTGGGTAGAAGTTATTTGCAAGTTAACTGGCTTTCTAGTTGTTGTTACTAACTGGACTTGATAGAATGGTTCTGATCTCTGGAAGTGTATCTGAAGGTATAGTTTATATTATTGAAGAGGAAAGCAACTTTGTTTTAGGAATAAATAGAAGAATGCAATCATTGGTTCAGTTCTCTGCTCTGTATGATGCATGACCAACTGTGATGTGACTTTGCTGCTCTGAGTGTCTGTAGCCATTACAGCAGTTCTGACTCTGCAACTGTTCTTGATGTTACAGTGGACTAAAGAGGATGGACATAGAACTGCCACCTCTGCTGTCCCTAATCTGTTTGTTCCATTGAACACCAATCCAAAGGAGGTCCAAGAAATGAGGAACAAGGTTTGTAATATCAGTAAAATAACTTATTTTTTTGGTCATCAACACAATTAAGTTGTGTACTTGTAATGAACTAACTTACTTTGTTATAATGAATATTATTTTGGGGGCTCAATAACAGTTCTGATGTTGTCCTGTCCCTTTAAAACTAAATAATGAAACAATTCCCAAGTGTCCTGAACTCCTCTTGGAAAAAGTTAGTATTTCAGTTCACTATATGAAGACTTTAATTTTTCTTAGACCAGTTGCTGGGTACTTTTGAAACAGGCAGTCCTGAGTTTATGGTAGTAAGTCAGTACCCTGAGATCATAGTTTTACATTAGTGACCTGCTTTCCTGTTTTGGTAATACCAGTTGAAATTTTGTGGCCTAGACAAAGTAGTCTATAGAGCTCTTTCCATATTTCAGTGTACCAAGTATTAATAATACTTTTTGTTTGTGTATTTGTATGCATATATTTTTTATAAATCGAATGTCCATTTTATTTGGAAAGTAGAGGTCTTTTAGGATGCATGCTTTTCTTCATTTATCTTGGAATAAGAACCAGAATATTTTAGAAATAAATTTTGATTCAGTTGTTATGAATTTCTTACCACTGAAGGATATCTAATTTGAATAGATATTACCTAGGTTTAAAGATCTATTTTCTGTTCCCATCTTCTGTATTGAAAGAACTGGGAGGTATTTAGAATGCAACAAAAGGGGTGTTTATGAGAACTCCAGAGTGTCAGTTTATCCACAGAGAAGTTATTTATATGTCTTTTTGAGGATATGATCCTGACTAGGTACAAAAATGTAAAGTTGTGCAGTAAGTTCTATAAGAAGATGATATTGTGGTGCCATGTCAGTAGCTAATGGCTAATGACGGAATCCTGCAGCTGACTAGTCAGGTACAATAGACAGAAAGGCAGAGGTAATATTTCTGTTTCTCCTCACTTTTCACAAACTGGAGTTGTCTGTTACCTGTTTTACCATGACCTAGTACTAAAAAGCAAAGGAAAACATCTTCTGTGGTACTTAGACTAAATTCTGAGAAATGTGAAGAAAAAGCTAAGAACCTCAACATCTGTATTCAAGTGGTGTTTACAAGCTCAGCTTCATTTGACGGCCCTGTGGCCACAGCAGTCTGTACTGGTTGTTGCCTGTTGGCAGGTTCACTCACCCTTTTTTCAAACACAAAAATGTGATCAACTTTTCTCTGTTGTCCCTGTGATTATTGTTCATTCTGCTGCTTTCCTTTACAGATCCGAGAGCAAAATTTGCAAGATATTAAAACGGCAGGACCTCAGTCACAGGTTCTTTCTGGGGTAGTTGTGGACAGGAGCCTTGTACAGGTGAGAGTATTAAATTCCTAAAACTATTAGCTTAATCTACAATATCCTCTGCTTTCACCTAATATATCACTATGAAATTATTCTTTAATTGGCAGAGAGTAACTGTTTATAAGGTAAGTCTTAGAGGTAACACCATTGTCTTTGCAAGAGTGCTCAGGGTCAGAAATTTAGAGGCTTCAGCCATGTAGCCCAAGCATGTCTGTGGAGGATGCTTCTTGGTTTTTTTTCTGAATGTAATGCATGAAATTCAGCAGCCTAATTTATATGGGTTAGATTCTTCTTCAAAACTAGTTGGGCTTTTTGACAACTTTTTGTTTATTTGATTTCTGGGTTTATTTATCTTGAAGGATTAATACTGGGCATACCAGACTCGCTGTGGGGCAGTACTGTTTCGTGTAAAATATGGGATTTCATGCTTCATAATTTTATTTGAAGAGCAGTTTGGGAAAAAAGCTATTACCCTCAATGAAACTTAAAAGCAGTACATCTGTACATACAAAAGACTATAAATCATAGATTCAAGTAAAGTAAGAATTAGAGCTGTACAGCTATACTGTATAGCTGAATAAAGCTTTTTATATCCAAGTGCTTTCAACTGCCCCAGATAAGTATTTTCTGATACACTTATAAAGATTGGCAAGTTTTATCATGACCACGGCATTATTCATGTTGGGTGTCATATTGTGTGCATGTCAATTCATTGTCATATGCAATTTCATCTACCAGTTACTGTTTCTTTGCATGTTTTTAGCAAGCATCACAATGCTTTCGGTTGATGTTGTAAAGCCCGGGCTCGGTTTGCTCTGTTTACTCAATTTACTGTTGCAGGATGCTCCCCTCTCAGACTGTACGGAATCTATTGAAGGGCTCGATCTCACAGAGCAGGCCTTTAGTCCTGCTAAATCTCTGTCTGTTAGAAAGGTACTGCCCTGTCATACTGCTCTAAATACTGTTGTTCACCCTTCATTTAACCTCTCCCTACCCTGACCTTTTTCCTCTGTTAGAAATTATTTGGCTAGAAAACTTCAAAATATAAAAATAAATGGATCTTCAAATTATGTATATGTGATGATGCAAACAGTTACTTTACTCTCTTAAGAGTGTCTTAAGGATCTTGATCTTTGTCTCTAGAGCAGACACTGTTGATGTTCAGGTGCTGCTCAGGTCCCACATATAGAGGGTTTCTTTATGCATGCTGTTAGTGTTGAATTATTCTAAATTGAGATCAATTTAGAGTTAGCTTAATCTCTGTCCGATTACATCAGTGTTGATTCTGAGGATACTCTGTGTGTTATGTGACAAACACTGTCAACTCTTGATCCCAGAGGGCTGGAGCCTGGCTTCCTTAAAGCTTCCTGCAGTTAGCTACAGGAGTTGCTAAGTAATGCCCCACACATATAAAATGGATTGGCTTTCACACTTGTAGTCATGTTTGTGCTTACATAATATCTGTTAAATACAGAATAAGTTCAAGAGGTGTGGGCATGTTGGAGTGGGCAGTCCTTGGGGCTCACTGAATGGAGCAGCTGCACACTGCAAATAATGTTTCTTAGAGCACATCTAGTGTGAAAGCACAGCGTGTAAACAAGCATCAGTGCTTCCTCTGCTCCAGTGTTTTACCTAAAAGATTCTTAAATCTTGGTTTTAGGTCGTGCCTAAGCACCTCATTATCAGAACAGCTTTTGCATGAAAAAAGAGCCAGAATACTTTGAATTGCGCCATTGTTGGAAACCTTGTGGTTTTATAATTCTTTCTAAAGTGTGATGAGACAGTTTTGTGTTATGGATACTTGGATCATACTGAGAATTGATGGTCATGTTTTTCGCATTGCAGTTTTTGTCCGTATTCTGAAAGGAAAAAATAATAGAACACCATTTCTGGACTTTAGACAAAAATTGAAATAAAGCCAAATTCTTCTAGGCAGTTCATGGCTTTTATTTTCCAGTTAACAATACTCTCAAAGTGAAAAACTACTTTTATGATAATTATCACAACACAGGTGTTGTCTTAACAGTGATATATTTCAAGTATTATGTTCAAACAATGATATAGCTTTTCTATAAAAGTAGTCAGATAGTTTACTTGCATTTTCATAGATGGCAGAGAACCAACAAATGGTCTGTTGGTTATGTGATTTTTATCTAGTAGTATACTGTTAGGTTTTAGATATTCAAATTATGTTTCATTTTTTTGTGGTGTCATGAAAGTGCTTCTGCCTGAAATAGTGTGTAAAATTAGATCACAGTGTAAATTACAGGAGTAATTATGAAATAGAAGTGGCCTATATCATAATCTTTGTTATTTTAATATGGATTGTGACGTGAATGCTTAATAATTTCCTGTTTGGGGAATAAAAATAACAACCTGTGATACAAAACCAAACAAACAAATAAAAACACCCCAAACCAAACACTTTCTAAAGTTAAGACTTTCTAAAAAAAAGTCACCCAAACTGGAAAATCCAATGAACCCAAAAATAACAGCAACAAAAGAATACCACCAGAGAAATTTCCTTGAAAGATTCTGCCATAAAAAATTGTGGTTTGTGGAACAAAAGACGTGTAAGTAATCTCATGATGCCCACACAAACCTCACCTGAAAATTTCAATGAAAATGAGGAATCCTGTACATCAAGGACTTAGGGACTTGTAGGTATCAGACAATCCTAAGTTCTCAGTTGACAAATTCTTTGACACTCAATGACAGTTCATGTAAAAAGTTTCATGTAATTGCAGTAGCACCTACAGTGCATTATGTTTTCAGTTAATCATGATGTATATCAAACACTAATGCACACTATTTTGGATGAAAAAATGCCTCCTTGTGTACAGTATGCATGTGGTGCTTTGAGCTCCTGTGCCTATGGCTGCAGCAGTGAATACTCCATCTTGCCTTGTTGCTTGCTTTATCCATGTTCTGAAAAGTCCTGGCCATGTTGCAATACCACCTCTTTGTACATCATGTAATTTTATTCCTGTTCAGACTTGGTTAACCAAGCTTCTGCTGCAGTCTTGGCTGATTGACAGGGAATGTTGGTTATTCTTACCAACAACCATTCTGCAGTCTCATAAGAAAATCAATTCACATGAATTTTCAGTAATTTTAAATAGAAGGGGATTCGCCCATTTTGTGTCTCTTCCTTTAGAATGAAAATTCTGTGGCTTTGTTCTTAATGCAGACCTTCTCAGTGCTACCCCAGAGGTGGCACTGGGTTTGACTTCTACATGAGCAGTAGCTCAGGAATCTTGGTGTTTTGGATAAAAGCACTGCATTAATGTCAGATTGTGTTAGGAGCAATTGCTAACTTAAGCTATTATTACGAACCTCCTGTCTGATTGAAAGAAGAATTGGTGTATATGAAGTGCCAATTTTGGTCATATTTATCCCTGAGAACAAGGTGAAATGCTTGCCTGATAAATAATGGTCAGTTTTGAATTTTTCTTTAAAAGACAGTTTTGGTATAGAAGTTACAAAAGTACTTTATTATCTAAAATTTTAATGCAGGAAGTTATGAGGTCCATGTTTAATATGAAGGTATATTGCATATCATTAGCTATAAATGACTTTCCCTTTGTGTCTGTGGGCGTGTGTGCCCTTACAGAGTGAAAATGCATTCTCTTCATTAATATGATCTATCCAGTGTTTCTTATAGTGGAGAAAATGCTGTTGATATTTGAATGCATACATATGTGATCAAATTTCAAATAGTCATCTAAATATTTTGGAATCATCATCAACATAATCATCATCAACATAATCCCAATGAGATCACTAGAACATTAATTTTTTTCATGTCATCTTATGTTGAAACAGAATGTGAGTCTATGGGAATTTATTCCCTCTCTATAGGCTCTTTAGTACTGGAAGTAACGCCAGACTAATTTTCCTGTTCAGTTTTTCTGAATATTCATAGGAATCTCTGAATGGCATGGTCATGTTGATAGCTCTGCAAAGTCTTGTCTATTTTAGTGTCACATTTAACAGTTGGAAATGTGTTCTGTACTGTCTTTTTAGTCCTTTTATATTTGTTTTCTTTCTGTCCCATGTTTCATCTTATGTTGTATATTTTTATTTGAATTCTTTAGAAGGCTGTTCTGTGGCCTGCTCTGTGAAGTAAAACATAGCTGCTTCTTGAATTAGAAGTAGTGATTGTTTAGAGTAACCATATTGCAGAACTTATTAACATACTACTATAATTTTTTTCCACATAGACTCAGTCCCTCTACCAGTATGATTTTCATTGGTGGCCTTTGAATTGTTTCATATAATTGATACTGAATAAAACTGGATGTGTTAATCTGGAATTAGCTTTCAGCTGATCAAAAGTTTTCCTTTCTGATCTCTTCTATAAATTTTTCTGCTTTTCGGATCCAGTATTGTTGCCTCTGATCTTTTCAATGCTGCTTCTCTTGGGTCAAATCTACTCAGCAAGTACAAATACTGTTTGCACTGATT